ATATATATATATTAAAAAAAATCAGTAGCATTTGTTGCAGATTTGATATTTAATGTTCTGTTAGAAGTGTGCACGTTGGATCATGGGTTAATTTAAGAGCTGCTCTTACTTTAAAAAAAAAAATCTTGTTTTATGCATGAAATTTTAAGAGAAAAGATGGGGTGGAAGGGTAACATGAATTAGGAGGATCTGTTAATAATTTTCAGGCGCACGCTTGGGAGTGGAATCTTAATCATTTTGAAAACATTTTTCATAGAAAAGGAAGACTTATGGCCAAATGGAGGGTGTGGAACGGTGTTTAGATCGTAATTCTAATTTGGAGCTGGTTAGACTCAGGACCTCTCTCTAGAAGGAATAACTTATGATTCTCAATCATGAAGATATTTTTTTTTTGGAGCAGCGTGCTAGATATGACTGGCAGATCCTGGGGGATAGAAACACTCGTTTCTTCCATGTGGCGGCTTTGAATAGACAGAGAAGGAAGATTACCCGGTTGCTAACTTTAGTGGATGGCTCCGTTATGGATGCTTACCAAGACAAAGAATACCATCTTTATTTTCTACCACAATCTTTTCAAGGATAATTCACCCTATGTGGAGTGGCCTCTCAAGGGAAGGTTTCCTAGGCTTTCCATTAATGAAATTGCGGAGATTCAGACTGACCCTTTGGATACCAAGATTATAGCAGCTATCTTAAGTTTGGAAAGTCTTAAGGCTCCGGGCTCGGATGGTTTAAACCCCTCTTCTTTGTCTTAATGAATAGACAGAGTTAGGAAAGCGTTTTATAACGTGTCCTCCATTATGCATATAAATTTGACTAATATAGTCCTCATTCTAAAAGGGGATCATTAGACCTCTATTCGAGATTATAAACCAATCAACCTATGCAACTTTATATATAAGGTTCTTATTAAAGTAGTCACTCCTAAACTGAAACGGTATATGAACAAGTTGATAGTAACAAATTAACTTTATTCTAGAAAGACAGAGTCGTGATAATATTATCATATTGCAAGAGACCTTTCACTCCATGCGTCAATAGAAAAGAAAAAGAGGATTTATGGCCATTAAGGTGGATCTTGCAAAAACTTACGATAACATTAAGTGATCATTTGTCTTTGATGCCCTTCGAGACCTAGGGTTCGAGGAGCACTTCATTTTAGTTATTTTTCATAGTTTGTCTTCAGTTTCATTTTAGTTTTGTGTTAATGGAGATAAAATAGACTTTTAAGTCTGAGCAGGGTCTTAGACAAATGGATCCTATTTCTCCCTCATTTTTGTGCTTTGAATTGACAGACTAGCGCACCTTATTCAAGAGAGGGTGGATTTTGGTTGTTGGAAGCTATTCACCTTGAATAAAGGGGGATGATTCTTTTGTACCTCTTTTTCACAAATGACCTATTATTATTTGGGGTAGCTTCTTAATGAAGGTGGCATGGCAACTCATTACCAATAAATCAAAACTTTGGGTGCAAGTCCTTTAGAGTAAGTACAAATGTGGGAATGAGGCTCTTCCCGAGACTAAGATCAAGGTAACTGATTCGCATTTGTGGAAAGGGATTGCTACTGTTTGGGAGAAGGTTATCCAAAATATCAGGTGGCATGTTGGGGATGGAAAGTCTATTAGTTTTTGGTTTTATTGATGGATTACTCCAATTACCACTCTTTATCTTGTTGGGAAAGTTTGTGACTACGTTAACATCAATAGGTCTTGGAATGCTCGCTACTTGCAATAATTCCTTCCCTTGGAGGTGTGTTGATAGGTGTTGCTCCATCCCACACCTAAAATTGAGAATGGGGAGGATCAACCTTTGTGGTCTCCTCCCTTGATGGTTGATTCTCTATTAAATCGGTGTACTCTACCCTTTAGGACTAGTATCATGTAACAATTTTCCCTTAAAATTGGAAGAGGATTTGGTGGTGGAAAGGCCTTCATCTGGTGAGTACGTTCCTTTAAATGGTTCTCCAAGATGGGCTGATGTGAAGAGGGTGCTCTGTGGAATGACGGAAGATGATATTTGTCCATTTTGCAAGAATCACACTGAGATGGATATTCATATTTTGAGGCATTGTTTCATGGTGAGACTCATGATATGGATGTCAATAAGGCAGGACTTTTCCACGAGTATGGGGGAGTTTTTTTTAGGTATGCATATTAAGGATTGGATCCTTGATAGTGCTTACTCTAAATCGGCTCGATGGAGTTTTATGTTTAGAATTTTTTTTGCAATATTTGGCAGGCTAGAAATGCTTTGGTTTTCTTGAACTAGAGTTGGAATATTGCTAAAATCATTTGTAAAGTTAAGTTAAAAGCTCTTGATGTGAATCAATTTTTGAAATCTAAGCTAATTGTTAAGAATCCTTTGGTTGACAATTCGGGGGTTTGGAGTCCTCCTCCTAGTGGTTGGGTCAAATACAATGTTGATGGAGATGTTCAGCATAGTGACCTCTCGGTTGGGTGTGGGAGAGCCCTTTGGGATGAGCATGGTCTTTGATTGCACGACTTTTGCAGGTAACTCAAAGTGTGCTCTAACTTTGGGTGATTATTTTTGGTCTTCATTATGCTTAGGGTTAGGTTATAAGAAGGTTATAGTGGAAATGGACTCCTTCGTAGCTATTGTTATTTTTAATTATGGGCTCATGGTGTATCATTCTCTTTACCATACCCTTTGTGTGGGTCTCTTGTTGATCAATTGTGATTGGTTAGTTAAAGTTAATCATGCTTTACGTGAAAGCAATAGGGTGGCTGATTCTTTAGCAGAGTTTTCCTTGGATGAATTATCCATCCTCCCTGATCCACCGAGCCAGTGCCTGCACCATCTTTGTCTTAGGTGATCTTGATCAACAACAAAACTTTTCAACTAAATAACATTTATAAAAATATATTTTTTTTCCTAAACCCAAGAAAAGACAAGCGGAGAATCAAAATATAACCTGTATTTGAAATCCTGTCTTTTGACCATGTTTGTTTGAAAATTCCACGCTTTCATTTCCCTTTCCTTTTCTGTGTCATGATAGGCAAGACCACCATAGAAATTGTGATTGTGATCATCCCTATTCCTACATAGCAAATAAATAAGCACATTTCGATCGTTTATATCTTTTCTTTGCCTTTTTTATTATTTAATTAGAAGTTAGAAATTATCATATTTTCTTTTATGTATAGTTTCATTTCTTGCTAATAAGTATTTTAAGGATTTTGGTTAACGACTATTTAATATGCCTAATGAAATAATTTTAATTTAAAGCCAAAGCAATAATTTTAATTGCTAATAAAAGTATGAATACATTTTTTTTTTGTATTTTAATATAATAAAATATTTTTTTATTACTTTTTAATTTTTATTTATGATAAAAAAAAAGTTAGAACGCTTCCAACTCACGTTAGACCTAACCTTTAGCCTTTTCACTGAATAAACCATGAAAAACTATTTTAAAAGATTATTTTACTAAAAAAAAATCATATTTTAAACCATCTGAAAAACCTTTCAAACCTAATAAACCATCCTATTTAAATAAATAAAAACAATATATTAGTATTTCTTATTATATAAACTTTTTCTATAATGTCATGAAACTAAAATATTTATTAACTTATTTCAAGGCTTAAGCTTATGAAAATACATAGGTTCGTTTTATCCAGCTATAAACATTTATAATTCTTTTTAAATAATTAACTCATATTTCTAATTAAATTTTCATAATTTTTCACAATTATCATTATTTATATCTTATTTAATCTTAAAATTATCCCTTTACCCTTCTTTTGATCTTAGTCTTCTATATATATATATATATATATATATATGTTTTAATTTGAGTATCTAACTTTACATCCTCCAACACGTTTACCTACTCAGTGAACGGATGATAAGGACATAGGTGTTGGAAAGAATAAAATTAGAAGATCATGTGAAATTAAAACAAAAGAAGACTTAAATTGAGAATGAAAGCAAAAACAAATAAATAAAATTATGGAAGTAGCTCTTCCCTACTCGTATGCTGTCGTTGTCTACATAGGAAGTGCAAAATAAGTAGTGTTGGCTTTGGTAACAATCAAATATAGGTCAGTAAAAGGCAAAATAAATAAGTCTCATGTCTTCGATTGTGATGAGTTTCGTCAAAGAATTAGGTAAAAAGTAATTATAAGTTGTAACAACCAGAAAGAAAGTAAGAGATTAATTCAACTAAAGTGGAATATGATGAATGAAACCTATCACTACCAATCACTGTTTTATATTTTTTAATGTGATAATTAGTGCAAATATTTCTTCTTGTGTTATCTACAAACAGATTAACAGTGATTAGTCAAAGTGTTCGATAAAAATAATTATCAATAAAATAAATAATATTTATATTAAAAGTTTGTTTAAATAATCTTTCCTATAAATATTTTTAACAAAGAAATATGAATTTATCTATAAACTAAAAAGAGTTTATACAAATGTTAACAAAAATTCTATTTTAATCATCTACAAATTAGTTTATATATAAATTAATTTTAATTTTTAAAAAAACAATTCATATTTATAGGTAAATTTATCCAAATTTCAAACATACCCTAAAGCATTTATGTATAGTCTCGTTCATACATTTCCCTGACAAAAGAAAAATATTGGAGCAACTCCAATGGGAGTTGTTTGTCCCATGAAACAACTCAAGTCTTAGTTTCTTGCCATTGGAGGACTTTGACGTGGCAACATGAGTTGCTTGAAGAAAAGAGAGAGTTGCTTCATCAAACAACCGTTCCTTACCAGATTTCAAGCAAATTTTATTGAACATGTTTGAGAACATTTCAGAAATAATAATGATGAAAATTAATTTCGAATAAAATTTATGTATTTACTATTGTTTTATTTTATTTTTAATATCTACTTATTATGTATTTTTTCTCGTAATTTATTTTATTTCATTGTAGTGCAATTATTCTTTTTAATAAAAATTTAAATTTGATTCATAAATGATTAGAAAAGAATTCTAAAAGTTAAATTTCTTAAAATTTCTTCGTATTGGAGTAAATTTATGTTTGAGTTGCTTAATACTAACATTACACGTTAAAAACTACTTTTTTCATTTTTTAACATATGAAACAACTAAAATGAATGAGTTGTTTTCATTGGAGCTGCCTTAGCATTTCATGTGCATGATGTGATGACCATTTGATTTCCTGTAACAGCTGCTTTCGTCTTAGCTGACATTATTTACCTCGCAAGTTATTTATTGACTCAAGGTATAAAGTACATCATGACATGACTACATCCTAAAAATATAACACATGCTAACATACATAATGTATGATGGGAATGCTATCTATTCCAAAGTTATAACTAGCTAGTAACGAAAGAAACTACAAAAACAGCATCTTAAGACGAAAGAAACATTTGGGTCAAACGTATTTGGCACCAGAAGTTTTATTTTATTTTATTTTTTTCGTTGTCATTTGCTTTTGTTGTGATTAGCTAGTCGAGAAGGGAGAGGGATTCCTCCGGGATTCCTCCTAACGTGTCAAAAAGAATTTCACACCACCAGAAGACTTGAAGGCAAAGCAATAGGAAAAAAAAACAACTAACAAGACTCAAATTAAGATTTTAATTTAAAATTTAAATCATAATTATCTAGAGATAATTACTTACTTTCTTTCTGTACCCTTTTAGTTTGTTTTATTAAGTCAAATATTTATGAGGCAATTCATTTTTAGCTTGGTAAAGATTATTAAGAACTTGAAGAGGTTCAGAGATATTAGATCACTCCAGAAAAAGACTAACTCATTAATACCCTATTCCTATAAAGTTAACTACGATAAACCGAAAGATTAAATTTTTATGTCTCTATTAGGTAACGCAAGACGAAAAATGAGCATGTCCTAATTAAATATCCTGTTCCCTTTCTTGTATTTGATGTTCGTGATGATGTTTAAAATTATCTGACATCTCCTAAAGTGTATTAAGAAAGGCTATAAGATTGATATTAGAGAGAAGGTATCCTCAATAATGCACATGGTGGGCCTCCTCTCAATGGGATATTAGAGAACACAACGATGTACCTTTTTAGGTGACTTCAACAAGATAATGCAAACAAAATTGGTAAACATTTGATCTTAGAGACACCTACATTCCTTGAAGCCTTGAACAAATACTAAACTCTCCCCATGTACAAGATTGTCATTTTCCTTGGGTCTCAAGTCCCTATGCAACAAAGACAAATGAAAAACTACAACGTTAATTTCCTAAATTATTTGAGATTTTTCAAATTAGATCTTTAATTAAAAATCTTAAAACTTAAACATATAGAATAAAAAACTTGATTACTATTTTTTAATTTAAGAACTTACTTAAAAACCTCAATAATTTAACTTAAAATATAAAGATGATGATAATGGGCAGATCTATATTGTATTTTAATCCCATTAAGACTTTGATGCTTCTCAAATCTGGGATCTCAAATCTGTAGCTACTAGCAATGGCATCATTACTTGCCCACTTTGAGATGAACATCATTATTTAAGAAGTCGATAATTAAAGATTCAAAAAGTACACCTGTTACAGAACACACGTTACGCATTGAACCAACACACGTACACGGGTCCTACCTCTTATCAAGAGTATAAACCATGCACACAAGTACAAAGGAATGTTCATTATCCTTGCATAATTTAGTTCAGCCACTTCACACTAGTATTGTAATGTATAATTACCCTTTTAAGCACACACTAAACACAACATTAAAATCAAAATAAGAACAAGAACATTTTTCTGTGTCACGAAAATATATAATATTATTATCATTGCTTAAGCGTGATCAGAAAACACACACAAAACGTCTTTGGATCCTGTGGAACAGGACAAAAGTGGAAGAAGGTCGATAATTGGAAGCCATGTCTGAACAAAAACACATGGGAAACTGCAAATAGAGACAGACTTATAGGAAAGCATCCTATTCTTCTTCCCACAACCACTCATTCCTCTTCCTTTAGATCGATTCTAATTACTAAATATTCACATAAACACCATAATTTCCATATTATACTAAATTATATAAAATATGACACTGTATAAAATACATATAAGTAAAGCCTTATTAAATATAAATGTATATAATCAAAACATAATTTAAATTCTAATCGAAGAAGATTCCGAAGAATATATGATACTGTATTGAGTTCCATGAAAATTAAACTTTAATTTCGTTAATATTAATATTATTAGTGGAAGAATGAAAAAAATAAATAAAAAATGAAAATAAAAATGGGAATTGCAGTTATCCGTAGAGTTAAAACAGTAGAGAAGGAAAGTAGTGTTACTACTACTCGGGGATGGTTACGAGGACCGGTCGCCACGCTCTTCTCAGTAACCGGTACCGGAACACCGACGATACCGGCCGGAGGGAAGCGGCGGGGCGCCGGAAGCGGACGGCGACGGAGGAGTTAGGGAGGACTTCGTGTGGGCCCTCTCGCGGCGGCGGAGATGAGACGAAGAGGTCCTTGAGCTTGTGGCGGACGCGGGACTCCGAGTGGGGGATCGGCGGCGGCTCCTTGGGCGGAGGGTGGAATCGGCGGCGGGCCAGGAACATGCGGAGGGTCTTGCGGCGGCGGAGGTGGATCGGCGGAGCGCCGGAAGCGGACGGCGACGGAGGAGTTAGGGAGGACTTCGTGTGGGCCCTCTCGCGGCGGCGGAGATGAGACGAAGAGGTCCTTGAGCTTGTGGCGGACGCGGGACTCCGAGTGGGGGATCGGCGGCGGCTCCTTGGGCGGAGGGTGGAATCGGCGGCGGGCCAGGAACATGCGGAGGGTCTTGCGGCGGCGGAGGTGGATGACGGGGCTGGTGGTGGGGCTCCGGGTGGGGCTGCCGGCGACGGCGCATTGGGTGGCTAGGAACTTGAATTTGTGCATTTGAGGAGAGAGAAAGAGAGAGTGAGATCTGAGAGAGGTTTGAACTTTGAAGAGAAGAGGGCTTTATTTGGGCAATATAAAAGCTCCCTTTTTTTCTTCGCCCCAAATTCTACCACTCTTTGTCTTTTTCCTCTTTTTTCATTTTTATTCTTTTTCTTAACTCTAAATCAATATCCTTTCAATTTCTTTTACTAAATACCCACTTTAAAGGTTTCTTTTCATCATATTAAACTAATACTATAACAGTGACTTATAAGTTCAAGAGATAAAATTTATTCTCATAGTATAATTAACATATGCAACTTTAAGAGAATATACTTTGTATGTATTGAAAGTGATGTACATCGAGAGTGTGATGATTTTTATAATCATTATTTTAAAATTCTATTAATAATAACTGAAATAAGATAAAAGCTTTATGGAGTAAAAATAGAGTAAAAAAGTATATGTTTATATTTTTTTCAAAAAGGTTTTTAGGATATTTTTAATAAATGAATATTATGTTTTTAATGGGCATATTTTAAAAATTAAGAAAAAATTAATGGTGTTAAATATTGTTATAAAAATATTAAATATTATTTTCAAAATATAATGAAAGCTGTAGATATATTTATATGAACAAATTTTATTTAAGTAATAATCTCTATTTATTATAATAAATGAAAACTAGAATTTTAATATGGCCTATGCAATTATATATGAGTGGTCAAAATTAAAAGTTAATTAATAATTCTATGATCACTTTAAAAGGTCACATATCTTTTTTTTTTTTAATCTTAACTATTCAAATGTGATTTTGTTGTTTATGCAGTTCTTATTTCTCATAATAATAATTATTTTTTACTTGATACACTTTCTAGGTTAAAATTATACTTGAATTAATAGTTTATATAGTTCGTCTTTCTGACAATAACTAAACTTTTTACTTGATACACTTCCTACGTTAAAAATTATACTTGAATAATGATTAAGTTTATATATAATGGGAACAGTATTTATTTTAAAATACAAAAAATTATAATTTTTTGATCCGTACAAGAATTAGGTTTAGTCCATACAATTATACTTAATGATTAAATTTTTTAAAAAGAATTAATGACTTTAAGATAATTTATAAATCTTATGTGCATTTGTCTTCTAATTATGGTCATTACAATATTATCTATTTTTATATGATCTAACTAACGGACATTTTTAAAATACATATTTGTTTTTGAAAAAAAAAAATATATATATATATATATATATATTAAAAATAGTATATTTATGTTATTTAAACTGTTTTGATTGATATAAAGGAATTGAGTAGAATTAAATGCAACTAACGAGGGAGGCCTAGAAGATTCAATTTCGTTGGGCGGGCAACCTCCGAAGAAATATGCGTATGAAGTAATTAATGCATTCAAAATAGGAAAAGTCTAACAGATTAAAGTGCAAGTTTGACATAGGCTTACGAATTTCAATGTAACAAGCTATGCATATGGCCATTTAATTTTGTTTCTTAGGCTGCAATTATACCTTTCTTCTATAACCTTGTAGGGAACAAGTCCTACATTAATATTGTCACAAGGGTCATGCGTAAAACCAAACCAATTTAGAATCATGCAACTACGTACTCTTTAAAATGATTCAGAATAAACACTTCTGTGAATATTAAGTCATGAGTTTATGAACAATTTCTAATTACTCTACACATCCTCTATTCTCTAGTCTCTCACATGTTATAGTTATATTCTTGAACGCATTGATTAACGTTAGAAATAACTCCCTTCTCCTTAGACATGACATGAGGTAGGTTGTAAACATAATTATCCCTCCTGGCTAGCAAGTTGTGTATTTTAGTTATGTGTTCCAATTTAATTCCTTTTAAGACGTTATTGACTATCAACATTGTTGTTATGTGACATTTATAATCACTCCTTAGAAAAATTTAATGCCAGACTCTTTGGGTAGCTGAATTGGTATATCAATAGACACTACAATCTTTGTAGCTTAAATACTACTTCCATAATAAGCTTAAATAAATACTATTAATAAATTATTTTTTTCATCACATAATAAATAATTGTTATATTAGAAAAAAAAATCTAAAAATAAGTGTTACGTTAATTTTTCATACAATATTAATTATATCAGTTTCATTTATACTCCTATTAATATTACGTAGAAAGAGATTTTTGTTTTACATCCTTTCTAATAAAAAAATAGTCATAAAATCATTTTCGTAAAATTACTATTCATTTCTATCTATTTATTAAATTTTTTATTTGTGTAAAATAACTAAAAATAATAATTATTTTGAGATGGATGAATTTTTTTATCGACGAATATTAATATTTATTAATATTTATGTTAGCAGAGAGATTAAAACTAATGCCTCTCTCCCAGATTATCACACCAACCTTATAACTCTTGGGACAAAGGAAGTACCTTTTATCTTTATATCATAATTTTGAGACAATTTTTCTTCTAAAACCAAAGTAATCGGTATGTATATGTGCAATATCGATAATGTAAATAGGGTTTATTAGGATATTTCTATTTGCTATTCACTAAGTTGGTCTAGAAAAAATCGGAAAGTATCTATGAATTCTTAGATTCAAATTTTAGTTTTGTGATTGTTAAAAAAAACTTTTTATTTGTTTAAATATAAAAAAGGTTAAAATATATATTTTTTAAAAATTTTATAATTTTACTTATTCTATCTTTCAATCTTTATATTTTTAACTATTTTTTTTTAATTTCTATACTTATTCTTTTTCGATCCTTTTTAATACTTATAATTTAAGGTAGATATTTTTAGTTTTTATACTTGTTTTTTTTTTATTCTTTTAGTCATCATTATTATTTTTCTTGTAACGTTTCTTTTTAAATTAATGTAACAAAAATATTAATTCAATTTTATGTGTCTCACATCAAATTTATTTTGTTAGAATTTTCTAAATTAGATTCCTCAACACTTTGTGTTCTTTTTTATTCTTATTGTAATATCTATTGTTGAGATACTATTTTTTTTATTTTCATAAATTAGAGACTTTTATTACGTTGACACAAAATAAATAACACTAAAAAAATTAACAATAAAAATTGAAAGAATTACAAAATTGCAAGAATTAAAAAGATTTATCTTCAATTATATATACTAAAAAGAATTAAAAATATAAATATAAAGACTAAAAATATCTATTTTAAATTACATGAACTAAAACGTAAAAAAAAATCAAATTATAAAAATTTAAAAAGTATTTTAATCTAAAAATAATAATTTCTTCACTTTCTAATAAAAAGCACATATTATTTTAATGTAGATCTATCATTAAAATTAATTTTAAAAAGCATAAATTCTAAAACCCATACAAGATAAATATGAATTAAAAATAAAATAAAATCATGATCCTTTCTTAAATTAGCTTACAAGAGTCTAACAACATATTTAATGTGGTTGCTTATTTGAATTTCTTAAAATTAAGAAACAAAATTTCACTTAATTCATCGTTAGAACAAATGATGTGATATTAATTAAATACAGTTACTTATACAAACACTGATGTTTAAGATATTCATAACAATAAAAAGGAATAAGAAATTATATTATGAATGAAGTAATATATTAGTAAAATACTTACAAGTATACATAACAAATTAGACCCATAAGATCAAATCGGTTCTAATAAGATTAGAACACTCACACATCATTATCAACTAACTAAGACATTCATAGAGCCCTCTTAACACCTAATATTGTTGTTATTCATTTAAATTGGTTAAACCAAATATAAAATAAAAAGTTGTCTGTTTCATGCATTTTGTTATAATACTACCATGTAACACTGGAATTTATATTAGCAGAATAATTCTAATGGTCAATTCCAATTATGTTACGTTGTTACTCTGAAACAAAGGAGTCACCCGAGAAAACACGTAAAGTAAGGGTTCAAAAGCAGTGGACCCAATAGCAATTTATCCACTGAGTGGTCCAGTCCAATTATTCATTCAGCACTGCAAAATCTTATGATATTTCATCATAATTCATCACCTTCATGTCCCAAACAAAATACTCTTTTATTAAGATGTTGACGAAACGCACCTTTTTTCTCTCTCTTCAATATGTAACTATGGCTACCAGAAGTATTAATCATGCCACATGGATTGGTATTTGAAAAAAAAAGACTCTAGACATTTTTAGTTACCTATATTAAGAATATGTTTAGATATAAATTTATAAATATTTATAAAATTTTCTCTATTAAAAAATATTATTTATTTCTATCAGAGAAATTCTAATTTATATTAACTCTCAAAAGATACATTGAAAAAGAAAGAGGTTTGACGATTAAGTAATTCTAGTATAAACATATTACTATAGACACAACCAATCATAAGTTCAATTACATTAAAATAATATTTAAAAATATGAAAAACAAAGCTACCTATATATATATATATATATATATATTATTTTTTATCAACTTGTTATATTACTGAAGTTATTGTTGTATTTTTAATTATTACTTTTTATATCCAATTCTTATATTTTTATTATTTAAATTTAAATATGTATACGGACTGTGTCAACTTTTTTATTTATTTCAGATTCATAATTGTATCTGTAATATCCTTAATTTCAGGAACAATATTTTCAATATTATTATTATTCCA